CGTGTACACCCCTCCCCCCCCCCCCCCCCCCCCCAAATTTTGAGTTAATCCTAAAGGAACAACTTTTTCCATAACGATCATGTCACAGTTGCTTCCATTGATGACAGCAATTAAGCTGATGCCAATGAAAACAAAACCAAATGAGATTCAGCTGCTGACAATTATGAAAGCAAGAGCAGCAAGGATACTGAAGATGAGGATGACTTTAAAGTCATTTTCCATTTAAAACTTGTGGTTTTCTTGTGTGATGGTGTTCAATTTCATGCACATTCCTGATAGCACCAAAAAGGTGTGTTTTGACCATATCTGGTTGAGATGAATGGATTGGAAAAAAAAATTTCAATAAAGTAAATCAGGTTCATTATACTTTTGCAACCTGTGAAGAACTCCTTTTCCCTCATAGGATTCCATGTATACCTGAAGGACCAATAACTAGGATTTAGCATTCAGGTCAGCATGAGTCAGCCACATTGCTGAATTTAGTCTGTTTCCACTGACCAATAGCAATATATCAACTTTTTCTAATGAATATAGATTAATTCTGAACAACTTTTCCAGCATTCAAGTATAGCAGTGCAATATAAAAGTAACTAAGGGTGGAATGGGGCATAATTATTTTTTTACATTGAACTGTGAGGCATTTCCATGGAATGGAGATGATCATGGACATTGAATCATTGAACTCATGAACGCACAGGGGGGGACCCTAAGTCCACCATCATTCTCTCTATCATTTCAAATTTCAGTGATTCATCACATCAGTGATGCTAACATTGTCAGTACACCATTTGAGACTTTGCCAAGTCCTTTTCTAAATGATTTGCAGTGTCTTTTGTGCAATGGCATTGAATCCACTCCTTACTATGTTCTACAGCTTGTGAACACTGAAAGGGATAATATGGTACCAGCTACTTTAACATTCCCCAAATACTGTTATCACATGTTAAATCTGGGCTTCTTAGTTAGTGGCCATGGAAGGGTTGATCTATGGCCATCCAGTCAGGGAATACTTCATAAAGAAATGAGACAGAAATAGCCTTAATGGCTATTTCATGCTGATCATGTGTTGCTGGTCTTCCAGTTTATCTTGTATCACAGATGCTGTCAGTACCAAATTCCTTGTGCTCTCAAGAGAGGCCATTGGACCTCCATAATAAACTCACAGGCTGATGAAATCATGTATACAAAGACATAATATGAATTCAGTCCTCTAAAATGAGATATATGATCCACTCCTGACATAATAAAAACCTGATATAGTGAAATAATTCCAGAGGCTTCATCAGCTTCATTATGAGAGTCGACAGAATTCTTTAAGAGAAATAAAATACAGTCAACTCCACATAATGGAATACCACTTAATAGAATACTCCACTTAATGGAACATCATTGCATGGTCCCGATTTACAGTATGATACAGCATATATTTTCGGTTATTGGAATACTGCCGATTATAGAATAATCCCATGAGTATTCCAATATGCAGAGTTGACTGTACATGCTACAGTGAGTGAAGGTGGACTTTGTGCCCATCCTGCAGATATCCCTACAGAATATAAAAGATATGGAATTCTTAAAACAGAGAAGAGCTAATTTCTCCATAATTAGTGGATTTCATTCCATAGACCAGCCAAATATGACTCAATGGTTTGGCAAAGCTCACAAAAGGTTAGATTTCCTGATTCATAGGATGATCCTAGTAACAGCAAGCACATTAACATAAGAGGGAGACTCACCTCAACCGCATCATTTAAGGCACCCGCAAGGAGGAAGAAGGCAGCTGCATGCTCAAAACGTTGCTTTCCCAGTAGTGCAAATGCATTCTTGAGTGCTGACTTTCTCCATCGTTCTTGGCTGAAGTCATTGGCAAAGAAGGCTGTCATCCTTGTATCCCGCACAGAGCGGAACAGGCCCCAAACCAATGATTTCTTCTTCATAGCAAGGTAGAAGATAGCAGCATCCAAAGGGTCTTGTTTGGTTTGGAATGCCTTCTTTGCCAACTAGGAGCGAAAACCAATTTTTCCAAATATATACATTTTTACTTGACTGTGCAATGAAACCAGAATGAATGGGAATTCTTCCTTTCACGACACTCAAAGTAGTATGGAATATAGCCAATACAGTAGGTATAACCAGTGTTGGGCAGTAACAAAGTAAAAGTAACGCATTACAGTAACTAATTACTTTTTCTGTAACTTTTTTGGCAACAAGTTACTTTTCAGGGGTGAGAAACAGAACTGTTAACTAGTTCCTTTTTCATGGGAAAAGTATGTGATGTTACTGTTACGCATTCCTTTTCTTGATGCTTAATTTTGCTGAAAACAACCAGTGCTTCATGACTACATTCATCCTAATTGATGCAAAATTGGGAGGAAAGGGGGAATATAAAATTGCCTTGAGAAACCATGGTTTTTTCAAAGCAGGTTTCTTGACCATACCTGCAAAAATATTTTGAAGTACAGGAGGTTAGGAATGAATAGTAGAACCTAACTTAACATACAGTGATTTGCAAGTGAATTTGTATCACTTTTAGCATGAACACCTCAGACCCAATTCCCTATATTTCATGGTCAGAACATCCTCATCTCCTTGATTACACCATAAAAATACCATGTACATCTTAAAAAGTTAGCAAAATTTCATTTTCAATCACTGGATTTGTGCAGTCTTTGTCTGGTCAAGGGAAAACAAGAGAACATGACTTGGGTTTTTCTATTTTTCTATCTGGAACTCATGATAGGGGGCAGGCTGGGGTAGGTCTTCCCATCACCAGTACCAATTGGCATTTTTTAAAACTAAAAGGTGCATTCTGGCCATCAGGATATAATTCCTGTTAAGTATTCCATGGGAAGGAAAGAGGCACAGGGAAAAGAGTAAGTATGAGTATGTATCCAGTTCAGTGATGACCATGAAACAATTTTCATGAAATCAGGGATAACTTTCACTTTCAGCACATGCATCCAGCTTCTGTCAAAGAAGTGGAGAAGCTGAAGATCAGAATTTTTGCTCCAAAACAATAACTTGAAATGTAACTTCTACTAGTAACTAGTTACTTTTGGTGAGAAGTAATTCTACTGGTAACTAACTACTTTTTGGATGGAATACTTGTAATTGTAACTAGTTACTTTTCAAAGGTAATGCACCCAACACTGAGTATAACATTGGTGACTTGATAATTGATGAGTGGTTGACTGGTAGATCAAAATGCTTCACTCTGGTCCTGACACTAACCCTTTCAACGCAGACCCGAAGAACTGTATGTGTGCGGAGCCACCAACCAGTACCTAGCTCCCTCAGTTCACTCCACTTAGTATCACCCCTCTCATATGATGGAACCAGTTGTAGCATTTCCTCCTCACTTTCTGAATGGAATGCCCAAACAATCATTGAGGAGTCAATGCCCTTCTTCTGCAGGGTTGCCCGTTGAGCTAGTGGTAGGCACAGTAGAAGGTAGGAGTGATGTTTCATTGCCAGGAGGAATCGTAGTCCGCAATCATCTAGGGAGTCTACAGAAAAAGTTAAATACTTTACAATGCAAAAATGTGAATAGAATGGAAACCAAATCAAAGGAGTAGGACCTTGCGCAGAAGAGGCCGCATGTCCCATGTTGCTCTCTTTAGCCAGCTGTGCCTTAGCACTCTCAATGGCAAAACGGTCAGCAAAATCGACATTACAGGAGGCAACAGTATCAGCAATGGCAAGCAGATGCATCTGATCCAAGCTGCTCAGTCCAGGCAGATGAGTATGTGTTAGTAGACGACTGAGGTGACGTGCCTGTCAAGCAAATACATGATCTCACCAATTCACTCAAGTCAACATTTTTATGAAAGAGAATTGAATAAATACAAAACCTCTTTTGGTCCAAAGTAGGCAAAACCTTTTCGTTCCCCACTGAGAGACCGACGGCGAGTTCGTTGACCTTCATGATCCTCCTCGTCCAGGAGATCATCAAGTGCCTGGTCATCTCCAGTCACAATTTCTCCCTCAAAGAGACCTGAGTAATCCTGCAGACAGCAAATGACACATTGACCACTTCTTCAAAATTAAGGTGGGGGAGTTCAAGAATGGATTTCCCTGATTTACCTGAGATTTTTCAGCACTTTGGGCAATGGCCCCAGTCTCCTTGTCAGCAGCCAGGAGCATCCAAATAGGGAGGGGTGGAATAGCACTTATTTCCACATAATCCAACATCAACTCCTCAGGTATCATTCCACTTTCCATGGGACTTGAAGCATCTATATTCAATCATTTAAAAAAATTCCCCAATAACAAAGCCAGCAAGTACTGCAACAAAACAAGGAAAAAATTAATAGGTTCTTCTGTGCTTTACAAATTCAACATTCTTTGAAATAATTCTTAAGTTAGAAGGGATGGATGTCAAAGGTTAGGATGATTTCAATAAAAATTGACTGACTTGCATTAGGACCAGACACAGAAAGTGCACGTGAGCGCGACCAACTTTTCCGACGTGCTTCAGTACTGTCTTCAAAGCTGCCAGGTTGGCTGCAAGCTGAATATTGGAAGGGCTTCTCCGTTGCAGAAATGCACCTGCATAGATACATTTTATGGAACATGGGATGGAAGTGCTTGCAGTATCCTCTAATAAGATAAAAGGTATAAAATTGAGTCAAAAAAAGAAAGGAAAATATGCTTTACTTCACACACATCATAACTTCATGGTAAGGGTCAACTGACACACTGATACACAGATTAACCAGTCAAGAGCATGCAAGTTGTGGCTGTGGCATCATTTGAATTGATGCTGAGGCGAAATGCAGGTCACACACACCAGTGCAGAAATGAAACACTACACTGAGTAACTCCACAAAATTTTGAACAAAATTTGACATTGTCATGGCCTTTTATGGAGGCATGATACTTTCAGTTATTTTCATTCAGTGTTGCCTACAAAATCCACAATGCTTACAGAATGCACAATTATATTTTCAAAATAGTCATTATTTATTCATGAAACAATATAGAAACTCAAAGCATTGCTACTATACAATGTGAAAAAAATGCAGGACTCAAGAGTCTAGCATTTTTTTCAAATTGTACTCATTTTCACATTTCAATTTAATTTTTTCCCTATATTCTATAGGGTTATATAAGAATGCATGACCTTGAGGCCTGGTGGGACTTCCAAGTCCCTGTGGCCTCTTTTTGAATTTACATTTATGTGGTCAATGATGTTTCATTGTGGATGACTGAAAGAGGAAAATTTGTTTTTACATAATTTATATTTTTAAATTTGGGTCTTAAAGGGAAAAGGCTCAGAGGATATTGAAGAAGCAGAACTCATCAACAACAACCATTGCCACACACCACCATTACTCACATGATCCTTCCCTCTCGTGTCCTGACAAATGGGCCGTGCAACCGACTGGGAACATAATCAGATTGACAGTCATGCGCATGGTTTCAAGTTTTGGGTATCTCCCTATTAGATGAAAAATGACTGTCATGCTGCTAGTTTTGACATGCTCAAGAGGATGATTATTCAGGAATTGCATGCACTCAGCACTACCAAAAATACTTGGTTATATATTTGATACCTTTGTACATCCTAGCAAGTACCATACTCTAGTCCATCAGTTCCCAACCTTTCTGAACCCATATTTTGCTTATCATGTATCATGCTTTCATATTTGCTTATCATCATTATAATAGGATGCATGAGGAGGGTTAATGGGAAATAAAAAAGGATACAACTAAAAAACCAACATGTATCACAAGGGTAAACCATTTTTTTTATTGCATCATCCTGAGTCCTAACACAAAACAACCCCACATTGACCCTAGAGTTCATTGCAACCCATTCTTTGAGAACCATAGCTCTAGTTGGATTAATGGCAGTTGGCCTACTTTCCAGTTTATGTGATCAGGTCAATACTGAACGTACTCACCGAACAAGATGAGTGAGAATAGCCTTGACTCGACGGATCTTCCCCAATTTGAGGAGCTCCATAAGTTGTTTTGGGTGGTACTGAGGAAGGATGGGAGACACTATTCGACTTGCCTCAAAGAGTCCAAAGTCAGGCATATCATCAGGGAGGCTCTGGTGGCTGGCCACTCCAGCAGATGTCATTGCTATGAAAAAGATCAAATTTTGAGTTTTGGATGCCCTACCTGAGGTTTCATTGTATAAATGCTCTTGAATTTCAGCTGAATAATACATAAATAAAGATTACTTGAGATGGAGCAACAGACTCACACATGAAGCTGGCTGCACTCTTCTTGCTCCACTTGCCCTCAGCAGAAAAGAGACTGGACATGGAGAGAGTGCGGGGAAGGCTGGCCATGCTAGCCACGTGGGCCATGCGGCGACTGACTGCACCCTGCGCCAGGTTTCGCAAGTCACTCTCTGTCAGGCAACGGCTCTTCAAAGTGTCCTCACTCAGGTGGTCCCCACGACCAAAGTATCCACCATAACCTAACACTCAAAATCAGGTTGTGCTTGTCTGAGAAGAACTGAAGTAGGATGGGAGCAGTGACTCACGATTGGGCTTCCACTGAGAGTAGACATGCATTTCAGAATCCATGGCCACAACCAGGATCCCCTCCCTCACCCATGAAAGGTGCATTGGGAGTGGAGGGAGCCCATCACAAGACTTTAGGGTAACTTCACGTAACTTCATCCACCTATAGAGGAAATAAAAAGTTGGGCTTTTTTTGTTTATACAGATTATTTCAATGCTTTACTTACAAGATATTAATCTTTGAAGAAAAGCAAGCAGAAAAACATATTTTCAAAGATATTTACATCCAAAAACTGATTTTAAAAAAGCTTTTTAGATTTCACAAAAGATTTCACCAATTCACTCTAATTATAACTACAGGTAATCTGAGTGCAAAGTCTTTAAATAAAGATGTAAGAGTGAGAATAATCAATCCTCAGACCTGACTTCATCCAGGGCAAGGGTATTCATGGCAAGGGAGCTAGCCTGCTTGAGAAGAACTGGTCTTGCTTGGCTACGGCTCTCCTTCATGGCAGTTAGATTTGCCTGGGCCATATCACTTGATACAGGGGTGAATATGAGGATTTTGCTCCCCACACCCACTGTGAGGATATGGGATCCATCTTCACGAGAAACCCAATCCAGTTGCATTAGGTGCTTTTGAGCCATGGTGTCAGGATTTCCATGGCTACTGATGTGTCGTCTGAGGGTTTGTAAGGTACAGAAGCTTGGCACTGCAAGCAAGCCCTGTAATGTTCCTGAAAGCATAATCAATAACATCAGCAACTCTTGTCTTTCAGCCTTTGTATTCTTTACCACTCTCCAATACTCATTCAAACAAGCATGAAAAAGCATGTGTTTATCACTCATGCATGGAATAAATAATAGTGAAGAAGTATAATTTAGCATGAAATGTCACAACATACCAGATACAATAGGTAAAGTAAATAAAGACAAGTCTTTCACAACATATACAACACAATGCAGCATTTCCTTCAATCATTCAGAGGGGTAAGAAGAATGAGTATTTATAAGAATTCTATACAACAATGACAGCTTGAAGCAAACAGAATTCAGCAACAAATTGTACTGTACCTATTATAATTACATAACATAGTTTGAAGCTCATATGAATAAAATAATCTAATTCCAAAGCACACAATTAGGATTCCAATGCTTCCTAATGAAGAGCAACTACAACAATAAAAAATTGCTTGGTGATAGCTGATTCGAGCAAAGCAGTGCAGATAAACAATGCAAGATAACATTTCCATCAGATAAAAGATACATACCCTCTGCCTCAGACTGATTTGTGTCCACAGGAGGACCTTTGGAAAGGGATAGGAATCCATCAATTCCAGTGCCTTTACAAAATCCATGCTCATGTTTATGGTATCAGTGCTTCAAAGTGCTCAAGAACACCCTAATATAAAAGCCTACACCAACATAAAGATTCAACAAGAGAAGCTAATTTTTATTTATATTTATAGCACTTGCTCAGTAAAGGTTTGTCACTCAGCTTGGTGCAATTTCTGTAAGGAAGGGGTATTCATCAGTGATGGGAGAAGACTATGCCCACACCCCATTAAAAAATTGTTTACCCCTCAGATTCGGGAAGATGGGCGGTGCTATCTGTACTTCCTTGCGTAGGTGAAGAGGGAACAATTGGATGTCTATCTTGACACTATTCTTAGTGGACTGGATGGGTCACATGATTCAGTCATCCCTGGAAAGGGTTGGATGATGGCTCATGCTTGTTCTGTTGTTCTTTGGTATACCATACTGATGCTGAATCATGGCCCATATCCATCCTAGTGCACTTGGTGCCTTAGCAAAGGGACTTCAACCCCATGACAATATTATCAACTCTGCATTTCCTAATAACTTTCCAGACTGAAATAGCAAGGATTACTTCTGCTCTCTGATTCCCAAAGGTGAGCAGGTGACCAAGGAAATATATTAGAAGCAGGTGGGTTTTTTTTTTTGCAAGAGTGGACCTCTGAAAGGAAAAATTTTTTTTTCAACACTTCATATGGTTTATCACATGACAGGTATGGGGTTCAAAAGTGTTAATGATACTCCTATTCCATTGCTTACCTAGAAATTAGGATATAGGTTAGATGCAAAATTCCATTTGGAGCAATAAAGAACATATAAATAATCATGACTAACAGGGTGAGAATAGCCCAGAGGACCAGGGAATTTGCCCATATTAAGCAAAGTCACTGAATTACTGCTATTTGGGTTTTAGAGAAAAATTGTATATAGTTTGCATTGGACTTCTGCTGAGAAAATGAGTCAAATGAACAAAACCTGCATGACAGCTTTTTATGCCAGGATGTCTAAAATTTAATGATGGCTTGGACATCCCAACATGAAAAGCTGCCAGGCAACAATTCTTGGTTCATTTTGAAAAATCATTGCAATTCAATAGCTTCACCAAATTTCATGAAATTCTGCCTCTGTTTGCTATTTGAGAGCAGCTTTGAAACTGAGAAGAGACAGGAAGAAAGAAACAATAACTTCAAAGTTATTGGCACATAAAACTTACATATTGACTAAGCCTTGTAAAGAATCAAGTTTAGCTCAAGCATGATGCTTGAGCTTTACTTTAGAGCTTGAGCTTTGAGGATTTTGATTACTTCATCATGGCAGCAGACATGAGAGAGGGTGTCATGTGATGACTCAATATTCAGTATTTACAGTGTGGATTGCCAGCTCCTCTGGGTGCAGCAGGGCCTGCAGAGTTTCATAGCATAGAGTTCTTTTCCCAACAGAGAGAAGCTATCATGCTTTTCATTACCCCAGTATCCAGCAGGGAAATTAACATGAAAAGTTATTTACCTTGGGAATCAAACCCCAAACAGCAATCTCCTGATATTTCCCAGGTAACAATAATCACTAGGAATTCCTATTATACCAGGAGATTACTGTTGTGGGAAATAAGGAATGGAGGAGGGGGGAGATTCAGTCTTCACGGATTCATGTCACAAACTCAACATATCGGGTTCATTCAACTAGTTGCCAAAATAGGAAATTCCATATTATCAGAAAGATAATGTAACAATAGTTAAGCTTATAATAGTTAAGATAATGGTATAATTGTAGAAAGAAACCATTATCAGATAGATAATGGTTTCTTTCAATAATTTATACAATTAATTTCTCAGAAATACCATACTCATGCATGCATAAAGCAGCATTTCCAGGAAGCAGCATTTCTAAGCAGAAGCTTAGGACTTTCTTGAGACTATTAAAACTGATTTTTGTCAAGTTGACAAGGAAGTACTAATTCACATAAGGGTTGGATTTTTAATAAAGGACCTTTGGCCAAAATATTCAAAGGGGGAAGGTATAAAAAAATTCACTAGTAACATGGATAAGCATTTCCTGGAGAATGCAGGAATTATTTCCAGAGCATATGGCAAAACTGAAGTTTAAATGTTTTCTTAGCCTGATTTTTTTATGATGTAGAGCCATAAATGTCTGAACTTTTTTTTTAACAGCAGGTAATTGGTATCATTATGGATCTATATAACAAAACCTGCACCTGGCCATTGGCATGTCATCACTAGGGAGCAGATTTTAATGCACTAATTCCTAAATATGCACATACATATGCACTTAAAAATGCCAAATATGCAAGAAATATGCATGAGTGCAGGAAAATAAGCAAAAACATGTTTTTTTTTTAATGCAGTACAAATTTTTCAGAAGGAACTTCAATGAGCATTACAAGCCTCTACTGGGTATATAATACTTTAATTGAAAGAGGCCGAAAGTTGTGGTGGCTGTCAACTCTAACGTGCGAGGCCTGCAAAGCTATGTCATTCTAGGCCATAGGCCAAGGATATCCACAGCCTAAAATGCCAGGCCAACAAGACTCTGCCATTCTGGGCCATAGGCTAGGCCATAAAAATTGAAAGAGGCCAAAAGCAGTGGTGAATGATTGTTACTCATCCACACACAAGGCTTACAAGGCTATGCCATTCTAGGCTGTAGGCTAGGTCATAAAAACTGAGATGTGCACAGATACACGTATAAACAAAACACAAGTTTGGCAATGCGAAAAAACTGCATTACTTATGGGTAGTCCCAAATTGTTGCCATAAACAAGCACAAACTGGAGCCTCATAAATTCTTTAAAATCTGTATCAAGACGTGCAACATAACCATACTTTAATAATGACAGAATCTAATAATTTTCATATTTAAGTGTTAATACCTAAATATGAACATCCTACATGAAGGATGACAGAATCCAAACACTGATGCATACTATTTCTGTTAAACTACTATGTTCTAATGACCTTCACCAGTCTCAGTTTTGACCAACAAAAAGCATAAAGGATTGATGGAAAGTTCCTACCTTGAACATTACAGTGTTCATGAATTAGATGCTCCAGAGCTGGGTTTGCATGATGTCGAATGCGGATGGAGGCAGCCGGACTGATGCTCAGTGACTCCAATTCACTATGAGAAAAGTTTTTCACCAAAGCATTGACCGAAGTCTGGCGCTTCTCCCGCAGTGCCTGATCATATACCAGGCTCAGATCCAGTCCCTTCTTCTGCCGCACTCTTGGTAGGGAAATGTTCTTTAGCTGAATTGTATCCTCCAACACCCATTCCGAGCCTGGGGATGAAACAGAACCATTCTTGTCTTTAGCCTGACAACCAGGAAGATCAGGTATTGAAAGAGAATCAGTTCTCACCTCCAGTGGATTCACACTCATATATACTGACACAGAGATTGACATATCTGGTGTGGGGGTCAATGGAAGATGGACGGGTGAATGACTTCCCTGCCTTGTATGCACAAGCCACCCTCCCACTGTATGAAGCATTCACATTCAATGGCATGCCTGCAATGCAAATCACACACTGTCAAGGTGAGGGGAATAAAGACTTCTTAAGACTAATATGGCTACAAGAGCCCACAGAACCCATGGACAACTCTCATCCTTCCTTATGCGAGTTCAAGGATATACAAACTAGAGATGCAACGATATTTTATTGATTATCAATTGGGTGGACCCGATATATTGGCCCAAAACAATATATGACCTGCTGATAACCAATATTTAAACAAAACCTGAAGTATGCCAAACGCTAAGTATGTAAAGCGAATGATGAATATTCTCTCCTTTTTCTCATTTCTGTTTTTCACTTGAGTTAGATAACATTTCACTTGACTAGAACACATGTTCATTGGACGTTCCTCATGCATGTGTGTCAAAGTCAAGTGAAAAACACTGCAGAAGGTTGAAAATGCCTAAATTACATGTTTTCATTAAAAAAAAGAAGCATTAGGCTGCTGAAAATGTAAGCATTTTTCCCTTTGGATTGAGTGTGGCCACAAGGTACTGAAGCTTCACCCCTATTTGACAGTAAGTGTCTCCCACTGACAACTTGTGACCTGTTGCAAGCATGTGAAATAGGCATAATCGACTGCGATGGAGGTCTAAAATCATTTCGTGTTTGGTTTAACCGCCATAACCTGGGGATATGCCACCTGGATTCGACCTTCACTGCCGCGGTTCCTCAACGTCCCACATCTAGAGATGGAAGCGCTCCGTGTTGGGGTACTCCCTTCCCAAGCACGCTGGCGCTGGCGCTTGAACTAGGAAATATACACTTGACTTGGCTAGGTTCGAGCCCAGGCCACCCTGTCACGAGACATAAGCTCATTACCTAGTCACCCAACAGAGGGATGGGAAGCGTTATCTACATACTAGGCCTAATGCCATTATCATCAGCCTATTCCGTGCTTTCTGCGAAAATAGACATCGCTCGTGTTTGCGCGAAGAAAATAGGCCTAGATGGATCCCAAAACTTCGGTACAAAAATCACTAGACAATAGTTGATTTCAACTCTTTCTAGCTCCCCCACAGGTCTCATTTGGAATCACCGATTTTCAATAATTTTATCATCTTTATATTCATGTTAGAAACTGTGCCGATGGCCACATTTGACCGGTAGACTGATGGCGCATTTTGAACTCATACCCATTGACCGGTGCAGGAGCCGGAGCCGATAATAATCTATACTCTATTTATTGAGAAAGTATTAATAACATGAAATCGCATACGAATTCAAATAGGCCTATTTGGAGGCTTTGTGATCAGTGCCGGATTAAAAAGGGGGGGGGGGGCAAAGGGGGTTGTTGCCCCGGGCCCCACTCTTCCAGGGAGGAAATTAAAAGCGTTAAATACGAGGTATTTGTGTAGTACCGAGGGGGGGTTACCTCAAAGAATCTACTTGCCCCGAGCTCCCCAACTTCTTAATCCGGCCCTGCTGATGATACTTATCAATGAGCCTCCTGAAAACAATAGAGACCACTTTTAGACCTTTCCAGCCTGTCTGTCTGCGATCGTCAGTGATTAGCTGGTTACCTATTGCTGATAAGAGCGCTTAACGACACCAATCGCTAATGCACAGCACAAAAGGAGGTGCAATGATTTCACGGTCTTTACCGCAATTTTCCTCCACTGGGCATACATACATTAAGTCCTCGATGCTGTATAATCCGATCTATATTTTTTTCTGGGAGAGGACGGCAGGGGAGGCTTTCAGCGAGACAGAAGGGCCGGCGCCAAGCTGCGTTCACACATTCACGTAGTTATTTTTTCATTTTGGCCTCCTTCAGGCTTCGGCATCGACAGCTTCCAACCCTACCAATAGCCATGGCGACAATGGTGCAACACCAGAGGCCAATCTTTGTGGTTGTCAATACGTTGGTGCAGCCCTAATTTATTTAAAATATTTACAAAGTCATAATTTAAATTTGAATAGTTATACCATAATGCATTACATAAATATATTTGTAGATAAAATACCTCTGTAACATAATAAATATGATTAATTGCCTTAGAAATTTTCCTGAAAAGCAGTTATGTTCACATTTCATCTGCATGGCAAATTATCTGATGATGAGCTAACAATCTGTCAGTCATGTCCCTCTGGGTGTCCATTAGAGGTTAGAAGGGGGGAACTTGGACATTCTTGAAATTTTCTTAACTGAGTGCTACTTTTAAAAAAAAAAGAAGTAACTGCTGTTCCACCTTCTTGCAAGTTCTATGATGGTACATACAAAAGAAAATACCTGATGCAAATCCAATGTAATATTTTAAAATCCACATTGAAGAGCCTTGCTTCAGTGTGAACAAAACATTTCTTCTCACTATTGGAGAAATGGCAAAAGCATGAGGTGCACCTCAAGCTTTCCCCATTGGACCTGGTCCCAAATAAAACTTAACAGTGGAGAGGATAATGCCCAAGTGTTGATTTTTGAACGGAGAACTATCCAATAATGCAGCTTTATTCTGGGGAAAATATATATTTTCTGGAAATAAAGCAGCATTATTGGATAGTTCTCTGTTCAAAAATCCACCCTGAATGTGTGAATGTAGATAAAGATATCGGTATTGGTTCTTTTCCAATATTGGAAATATCGGTATATCGGACATCAGCCAATATTAAATATCGTTGCATCTCTAATACAAACTACAAAATAACTACTACAAAAACAAAATTATAAGCACTATCAGATTACACTAGCACTCCTACACTAGAAATATCAACACCAATTGTCTGAATGGAAGCAGTGACTACATAAAGAATGATTGCATTACCAAATAATATGTACTCAGATATTTCATTGAGCTATGATACTAGTATCTACTCTAGTAGGCCTATTTCATGTTCATCAAAAACAAACCAGGCAAGTCGATGGTTGATGTTCCATCTTTCCCAAGCATTTGCCACTCTTTCCATGAGTAGGCATACTTGAAACCTCCACTCTCATCAGGCACACATTGCACCTCACATTTCCAAAACCTGAAGGACTTTTCAACCTTGCAGAAAAGTACTAGACATTAAAGATGTTAGAAGAAAAAAATTACCAACTCACCGGACAGTGGAGTCAGAACATGCAGTAACAAAGACATAGGGGGCCAGGCATCCAGGATAGATGGAGGCAGAGCTGAGATGACCTGCTGAAGGAGTCGCATGGATGATCTCTGCATCACTTGAAATTGGCAGGTATACACGACACACCTGGAATATAATCCAAACTTGAATTAATTCCTGCTCAATTGATTAATGAAGTTAGTAAAGAAGTATTCTGTCTTGCTTGAGTGGTAGTGATGCCAAGTGGAGAGGTACACAAGCTCTTGCAGGATCCAGCCAAACCTGACATGCCATCTGAATGCATGAACAGGGGAGAGTTGGTGTGACTGAGAGGAGAGTTGGGCTCCTCCTGCATGAATGTTGAGTCTGGCAGATACATGTGCCCACTACCAAAGTCACCTAGGAAAAAAAAAAAGAAAAGAAGAAAAGAACTGAATGCTTTTTCTTTTTATTATTCACCAAAAAGGAAGAACTGAAACTATATTCATCATCAAAGTAATCTTAGCACCAAAGTTGCTTGATATTATGGGTGCTAAGCCATTTAGAACAGGGTGTACAGAGATAATTATGAAGCTAGAAATTGCACTTTTAAATTTTCTCCACAGCTTTTGAATGGACTGGGTGAAAGTTGATCTTGGTCACAGAAAACTCAAAGATTCCTCTTTTCAAATGTATCTATTGATAATTACTTGCATGAAATAAATCTTCAACACTTGCTTCTTGGTTTAAAATTTCAATCCTGGCCTGCTTCTTTAAGCTTAAATCTGCTTAAAAGTTCACAATTAACCAAATTGGGTACATTCTCCTTTCCATGACATATGAAACCCTAAGGATACACATATTAGGAAGTATGTCAAAGAAGTTAAAGCAGAATTCAGAAAGTTTTCATTAAAATTTTTAATGGTCTAAACTTTCCAAATTTTTGTATAATTTCAAGCTACATACCATATGAAGGTAGAGTGCCCTCCTTGTTTTTAAGCAATTCTTGGAATATAGTTTACATGAAGCTATCTCAGATATGGCATTTCCTAGCAACCACATTTGTAAGATTTAGTGTTCCAGGTCTTATACTCGAGGATGTGCACTGGCCCATATTAAGACAGATGAACAAACTTCACTAAAAGATGAAAATGACTCACCTTGAGCAGCAGGCTGGGATGAGACAACCATTCGCCACATGTGGAGGAGAGAACCTTCATCAGTCTTCTCAATTAGGACAACATAAAATGGTTCAGTGAACATGGACGAGGAGCGAAGATCCACCATGGCTCCTTCCAAGATGTTTCCCAATGAGCTTGAGCCATGGATCATCTGCTCTTGGTATACATGCAGGAACACTGTGTTCTGCCAGTCCTGCAGAATGAAATCAAGTCACATTCATCAAAGAGACATGTGAATTTGTCGTCATTTCTCTTGCTGAATTATGGTATTCCTACATGAAGAGAATCAGTGATGGCATCCAGGAGGATGATGCAGCCTGGACGAGCTGTTGACTGCTGAGACACAATTTTTATGGACCTTGTGAAGGACTCCTTTGTCTCTTGGATGCCTATTGGGGAGCTTGTGCGACTTGATGTTCCCTAGAAGTGTGTGAAGACATAGAGTGCATTATTTGCATCAAGAGTTACCAAGAATGCATTCTGTCAAGAACAGGGATTTCAGTAAATTTCTGCAAAGGAGATGCATAATGTGTGATCATTTCCCTTTGAACACAGAGAAAAAACAATTAGGTTACAGGAATGTTGACATTTTCATCATTGCATAACTAAACCAGAATTCAAGTTGAAAAAGGTCAAATCTGTGATGATGTATGTTGAAGAAAGTAGGAGCAAGCAACAGCTTTTTGCTGCAAGCTTGTTAACAGAGAAATCCCTATACCAATAGCTTCTTGATATAATGTACATATCACTTGTCACTCAATAAAAGGAACAAATGGCTTACAGATCTTAGCCGATTCCGCTCAGCAGTTGAAACTTCAGCAAGGAGTGCACGGGCATCAATGACAGCCTGATACACCCGTAAGCAATGTCCATCTGATGCCACAAAGCAGGCACTTGGAGAGTTTGACAGGTTCCCCAAGGTAGAACTGTGGGAAGAAAAAAACTGTGTGTGCTGAGCCTTCCCTTTTCTCCACAGACTTCAGTTTAAATGTGTATTTCAGCTTTGACTAAGGTCACTGGAGGCAGGGCACTGTTTCACATGAGACCTGGAAATACAAGCCATACTGAATGTCATACCACCAGCTATGCCACCCCAATTGTTGACTCTCAAAATGACATTAACAGGTTTCTGTTTCTGTCAATTGCCCTACCTCCAGTTCCTTTTGCAAAATGGTAAGCATACCTTGGCAAAAGGGTAGGTATCCAAGCACAGTTGGAGAAGGCAGAGTCTTCAGGAGATGAGAGTCGGGCCAGTTCAGTGACTCCTCCAGATTTTGAAAGCGGCCCAACAGGTTCAACTTTCCACAGGATTAGTTCACTGCAGAATGTTTCAGACACTGAGTCCACTGATGGTGATCGGAGTAATGGGGCCCCTAAAATGTTCAAGACACATGATAAAAACACTTATAATTGGAGCTGTCAGTTATGATAACAGGTGCAGTACCAATGTCATCAGGGAGTCTGGGATTGTCAGAAATTGGGGTGTTGCCAACTGAGGGAGAGGAAGCTATCATGACATTGTGATGCGATGTTGAGAGCAGGAGAGGCAGCACAGGATGGCAAGTGATTTCATTCACACGATACCTATGTCCACAAACTCGGGCAGAATGACCTGGAATTAATAACATGCATGTTACTGGGATGAAAAAAATGTGATACCACCTGACCATTAATAAAATCTACATCACAAGTTCCAAATGCAAGTCTTGACAGAAAAACTATAGCCAACAAAGTGGAACAGACTGATGAACATCATCACAGAGTTTATAGATTTTATTTTTGCAAGGAATGTTTAGACTTCTAAATTTAAATGAAAATCAGATGAACAATTAATGAAAAGAGGAAAAAAAGTGTAGGTAATGGACTCATACACAAAAAAATTCCATAATTTCAAGGTTACCAATATGATTACATTATTCATTTTTTGAGATGATATTGGTCAAGGAATAATCCAAATTACAGACAATGGTACTGAAATCTCCCATCTGACACATCAAATCTTCAGTGAGACAGTTTCTCAACCAATTATCTTTATCAACAGTCATATGCACAGGTCTTGCTTAGCATGGTGTTTGTTAGATGTTAGAAAAGGTTAGAAGAAGGCATAGTTAGAAGATACAAATGACCTTCCACTTTTCACTGCCATATGACCTGCGTGATGTTTGCATTATTTTGCTTAATACAGTCCAGAATCTTGTGGGTTTGTCCTTTTGTTGTTCAAATTTTATCGTTACCTCCTGATGATGTCAACTAAAAAAATTTTCAGTGTTTCTTGACTCGTATTTAAAAAAAATTAAGGATGGACTTTTGAACAGATAACTATCCAATAATGCTGCTTTATTTCTAGGAAATGTTATGTATTTTCCCTGGAATAAAGCTACATCATCAAATAGTTCTATGTTCAAAAATCCACCCTAAATATTCAAAATTAAACTGTGCAATAAGTTTAAGTGGAAATTATTTATTCCATATTTCTGGGCTAGTAGGGCTTATTCTGTACAAACAACATATAAAAATGAGAATGCAAGAACATATTAAGTCTTTATAAGTAGTTGCTTACATACATGGACCTATCAAAGACTTCCAGGACTAGCTTTCTTACGAGCAAACTATGAACAGAAGTTAAGTTTCAGTATGATCCCCTTTGAAATACAGGGTGACTCAAAAAAACCACACCGGCTCGTTTTTGGGAGGGAGCTGGAAGGAGGTCGTTTTCAAAGTTTGGTATGGTTTTTTTTTGGGTCACCCTGTACAAGGTTGGCCAGAAGAGTAAGCCACTCAAAATTTTGCTGTGGAATCCATATTTTTAAATGGATTGGCTTGACAATTTAACTAAACATTCCCTGATATGTTTACCTAGAGCATTTGAAATTTCATGCACTTGTGGACACCCATTCATGAATTATGCCAGATCTTGCTGAAATGGCAAACTAAATTGAGCATGGGACTGCCATTGTGAGGCATGAATCCACATTTACATGGGAATGCCTGAAAATTTCAGATGGTTAGAAAGACACATTTGACAAAGTCCTATTAAGTTTTCAAGTGGATTCATAAGGAGGAATCAATTCTTAAAAAAAATCAAATCTAGATTCATGCCTTGCAACAGCAGTCACATACCTGTTCATTCAGATGTTTGACCATTTCAAAAAAATCTGTCATAGCTCAAGAGTGGGTGGCCAATGACACAAGAAACTTTAACAACTCTTGAAGAACATTGTAGACAATGCTTCTTTAAATTTTGAGTCCATTTGTTAAAGATTTTGAATTTAGAACAAAATTTCAAGTGGTTTCCTTTTTTTTTGGTCAACCCTGAAGTTCCCTTGACTTACAATACTCTTCTCTCATCATTTCTAAAGAGCTTGGAACACTTGCTGCAACCAATTTTTGGCAAATTCTCTCAAATCGTTAGTTGCAGTTGACAGGGTGATGTCTGTATCACAGAAGCAGTGGGCATTTCAGAAGGAAGATTATCCCAGAAAAGAGCTTCAAGTCACAAGGCATGAAGTCTAGTGAGTACAAGGGATTTTAGAGCAATGACAATCCACAAATTGTTAGAAATTAGGGCTGTCACTATAGCAGTTTTCAAAACATCAATGCATCGACTTGAACTATCGATTGTGTATCAATGCATTGGGGGGAGGGGGGGTGCACCAGAGGATTCCATCTTTTCTCGCTGTGATCGGAGCGCAGATCTCTATCCAGCTTCTATTATCTCATGCTTGTGGTTGGGGGTGCAAGGGGAATGTGTGACCTTCATGAAGAGTAATGAAACCTACCATGCCTCCAACTATTGAAGATGACATCCATTCATTCATGGATGCATCAGGACAGCCCTAATTTTTTCCTATTGCCGTTGAGAATCAGTTGCCAAGCCCCGTTCACGTAATTTTTTTTTTCTCTTTTTCTTCATTCTACAATGTCTTTGGACATTAGCAATGCCAGATAGGAAACCTGCTGATGGTGCCATAACGGCGGTTGCCGAAACATTGGTACAGCCCTAGAATAAGCAACGTCCATGTAAAAAATTCACTTTAAGTTCACCTTAAGTAGAGATAAATGTCCCAGGGCAAGTTAAAAATTAAGAAAGTTAAGCCTGCATACTAAAGTGATAGACAGGAATATAGAGAGGGGATTAACCAATGTAGGTTTTGAAATCAAGGGAGTATAAGAACAGTCCACTTCCGCAGCATGCACCTGATGAGATTGAGCCAAAGACAGAAACAGAAGAGAAAAAAATATTATTGGTCTTCCCCCATCTCCTTTCCCACTTCCTGTCTCTGATCCAACTTTTTTTTCCCTTCCCATCTTTCATTATAGTCAGTTCCAGCATTTCCAGAATTTGATTGTGATAATAAATCGCAAGCCCATGTGGGTCATGCCGCTTCTTCCTTTCCCCACCCGGATGGACTGTATTGTACTGTACTTGCCTCGATCCAATGGGACATTTCCACTTTAAAATACTTTGCCAATGCATTGCGATGGTCGGAAAAACTATCGATATCTCCAACTATCGATGCATCAATCAATCGTGACAGCCCTATTGGAAATTCCATGATACTGCAATGATACTGATTAAATGCTATCAGTCACTATGGACAAGCTCAAAAAGGGCCTCCAAAGTTTTCTCGTTGCATCCTGTCCATGACCATCTACTGCATCCATCATCTCCAATGGATTCCCACCCTTCTTGAGATTGCCTGTGTCACAAACACGAGAATTAGTAGGACTATTTTGGCTTCAGAGGAATGACCACCAAAAAGTGGCTTGGCAACAAATGTGTTAAGAAAGAAGGTATGCTACCATCACAAAATAGCACTAGTATTGTTAGGTAGGGCCCATGTATGCGGTCCATTGTAGTAAACTGTGACTTGCACAGGATGAATTATAATTTACTTTGTGATTCTTTCATGCTAGGTCAAAACAAACTTAAATTAAGGAAATATATTGGAATAATAGTTATTCTTGGCCTATTTCTTTAGATGACAGAAAATTTCATTTAACTTTTCCCATAAAAGAATGGACAAGAGTCACAGGTGATTTACCTCTAACTGCACTGCTGATTGCAAATTCATGACCTTTTCAAACATTGAATTTTGCATGAATGCTTTATTTTTTAAAGCTTCCAACTACACCTGTCTTCTCATTAAAAATCATTCATCCTGACTGCTGCATGATAGGAAAAAAGTTGTTATGCCTCTTCTAACACTCTCACTCCATTAATGTGAATGTTCAAGGTTCAGATGAAATACAATTGGCAATGAGAAAAAGGGTGAAATTAAAATTTTTCTTCCTTTTAAGACTCATTCCTTCAAAAAAAAAAAAAAAAAAAAAAAGTGGACTCCAGTCTCTTTCCCTCATCTCCCCCTCTCTCCAAGAATCAGAACATCTTCCAGTCTCTCAAAGAATCAGAAGCAAAAAGCAACCTTCCCTAGTCTCCCCCTTCTGGCAAATCCAATACTATTTGGAAGAGGTTCATACAACAAGACTACTCTTCAATATGACAATGCCAGAATGTGTGAATACATGGAATAAATAATAGCATATTCCAGTGCACTTCAGTGCTGGATTAGAGATTCCTTCTTCAGGAATTGAAAAGATACAAGAAGAAAACTGAGGTCAATCTGTTAGTTGTTAAAAAAATTTGGATGATCATTAAACTAGACAAAAGCATATGGCCCCTCCCTTGAGTCAGAATTAATCATTGCTAGAAACCATCAGAAAATGTGATGCAATTAATAATTTAGAAGTGCATAATGGAAAGGTGAATGTAAAAAGTTGAAGTGGAGATCTACTAGGGGAAGTTGTACTCCCATTGAATGAATGACAGCAGAGATTCCATTCCAGTACTATAATATGAGGAGCTGTTCAAAAGTAATGGCATTGATTTTTTTCCATTAGATATAATTTTCTGAAAATTGAAAATTGCATGTTACGTACTTCAAGCTTTCATTGATTCAATGTATTTTTTCCACATATCAACCATTACTATTTAAAAATTTATATCAGCAGTGACTGAAAGCACTGAAGAAAGTCCTACTGGTGAGAAATTCACCTATGAACACTTTGTTTCAAAGCTTCACCTTGAAGATGTGCCTTTTGGGAGAAGCCTTCATCAGCCCAAAGAGACAAAAATCACATGGAATCTGTTTAGAGACCACAGAAAACCCTCTGGAGACCACAGAAAAATTATTCACTGGAATGCAGTTTGAAGTACATCCCATGTAGTTTTCAATATTTTAAGTATCATACTTAATTAAGAAAAACAAGGTGACATTACATTTGAATACTTCCTCATAATAACAATATCAATGGATGTGCAGATTGGTAATATATGAGTAAAGATCTTGATCCTCAATACAGTCATTTCTGGTTATGCCTCACTCTATCAGAACCCAATTATTTAATCATTCATTAAAGGACATGCTGGTTCTTCCCTCCTCTCTTCTCTACCACAAAAACCAATGGGTAAAATAAACCCTGTAAAGAAGTACAAGCCCAATGTCTCGTTGCACCATCCAAACGCTACAATGTAAGGTGAGAATGATGTCAAGGACATGTATTATTATTTCCATTCAAGATCAGAACCACCCTGACCTCTGAAATGTCCTCACCAATGCTTAGGACCTGGGAGTACTTGGAATGGTCTGCAAATGTAAGGCGCCAGAGGTTGAGGGTGCCATTTGCATGCTTGGAGAGCATGGAAATCATTGGAGATATTCTCTTCTCATTTTCATCCTCATCATCATCATCATCATCATCCCCTTCATCCTGTCCTTCAGTGTTTCCCTCACTCCCTTCCTCATCATCTTCACCTTCTTCCTCTTCCTTGATGATTTTATCATGGAACTCATGCTGCATGCTCCTTTTCTCATCCAAGCGCAGGGCATGTTTAAGATCCAGCACTAGGGTCAGAGCATGTTTCAAGATCCAGCAGCTCTTGAAATAACTAGTGACTTGGTCATTAACATTAAGGACTTTACCAAGATGATTAGAGTAGAGACCGATGTTTGTGCTCATGCTCATGGCATCCCCAAGGGGCAGAGCATTTGGAATGCGGGTTGAGAAAGATACCTGGGCCTGACGGAAGGAACCAGGCTGGAACTCATCCAACCACTCCACCATCCTGTCCAAAATCACAGAAAAAACTTGAATACAAACAACATAGAATACCAATGATTTAGGTGTCTCTTGAAGGATGAAATCTCACCAAACCAGGAAGGAACCATCAATGGGGTGAATTGAGAAGAGGAGGTCAGGAGAATGATGCCAGTCTCGATGGAGAGTCTCTATCTTCCGGTCAAGCGTGTCAGCCAGAGGAAACAATGTCCCATCAAGGTGGCCACTGAATAAAGCAGGATATAGAATTGAAAGCTATGCATAACAATAGGCAAGATCAATTTCAGTACCAGTCAATGAATAAGAAACCAACTTGATAGGGGATCTGTTGTTGGATGCAGCAATAAGGGTGTCATTGTCTAGTGGCAGCAGAAGCTTTTGCTGTTGCTGATTATGGTGATGGAATGGAGAACGGGGCAGGTGAAACCCTACTTTTTTTCCTATGCAGGATTGAAAGGGGTGAAGATCAATACATTATTATGTTTGAAACAGAACAATACCCTTTCAGAGATATAATTATTCCAAATATAAAATGAATAGAAGTCAACATAAAACCTTCATACATCATGACATCTGGAACTACCACCTTGCGAATAACATACAGACTCATATTCATTTTAGTGTTTTCAATTTTTTCTCATCCATACAAAAAAATGATTCAGATGATTAATGATTCAAAATCTTCTGAGACCGCACAAAGACAAAGCATCATGCACAGGAATTCAGTTAAAACTTTCAGTATTCTGATAGTAGAAGGGAAAAGTCATGAGTAAGAACTTCACCAGTGGTTTTAGAAGCAGGTGCATCATCAACTTCATTGGCCTCCAGGTCAGAGTCTGAACTACCCTGAGAGGCAGGGATGTTCTGAGACATCATCTCAGATTCCAGGGCTTTCTTGCCCAGCTCCAGGAGGATTTGCTCAGCTTGCATTGTGAAGTACATTTCCTTGTTGTTCAGCCAGTGAAGCACAAACTGGGTCTGATTGAGGCGATCCATTTCCACACTTGTATGATCCAGTGGTGCCAGGCTTGGCACCAAGGGAATATCTGACATCATGGGTATAGATAGAATATTGTGTTCATAAATGCTGTTACCAATAGAGGACAACATATTGAGTCACCAACCTTCAGATTAGTTTTCATTCAGTGCTCCATCATAAATCAAAGAGGAAATGCATCTAAGCTGTCAATGCACAGAGTTTCATTTACATTTCACTAACCATGTAACCTGCATAGATTTTGATTTTTTAAATGTCAAACTGCTGCCTTCCTGGGTTTCATATAGACCCCAGAGCTTTCTCACCTCTACAGCAGTCAGAATTACCACTAAGAATAAATACTCCATTATGTCTGTGATTGACAATGATTAGTTGTGAGCAACTACAGGAAACTGACAATTTTGAGGATTAGAAGTGAAAAAGAGGTCCTTTTGTCATTCCTCATTAAGTCCTCCTTTCAGTGTTAAGGTTGTGCAGAAAGAGAGTGTTTTATGACAGGTTTTTTAATTCGTACTGTTTGCAACTTAACCCTTTTCTCTCTTCACAGGTGGCATACAATAGGAAGTTCAAGCTGTTCATCAAATACAAGAAATTACAATTCAAAATATAGTGATGCTGAAATGAGTTTTACTTAACCCTTTCATGGCATATGATCATTATAAGGATCATATCTTTTGAGACTGCTCTTGCAGTTACCATTGAACTAAACCTTTTTCATATGGTACTGCTTAATAGCTCTCGAAAAGGGCTCTTCGGTGATACATTATTTGTTCAAATAGGTTGTAGTTCGGGGAAGCTGAATCAAAAAGAAAAGTTGTGACCTGATATGTTTGATTTTTTGTGAAATGGAATTTTGGACAAAAAATTAAGAAATTTTTTCTTTTCTTTTGGAAAAGGGAAAAATATGCTGCAAGGACAGATGGATAAAATTGGGACAAAGGCCAAGTTTTATGGGCTCCCCATGTGTGAACAATGGTCTATTATTCAATATTTTTGGCTAATGATTTTTGTAATTAAAAAATTCAGTTTTTGAATATATGAGTAAACACTATAAATTTTCTGTAAGCTCTGTCTTTAGCTAGGCCTGTTCAATAGAAAAAGCGGTGGAAAAATTTCCTAGTTATTCATTTTTTTTATTTCTTAATTCAGCCATGAAAGGGTTAATCAAGGAACACCAAAAAAATTGGATCTGAAGAATCTATGGATAAAAATTGGAACAAGAATAGGAGACACAGAAATAGCAGCTTCAGGACATTTCTGCCACTTCTCTGACCTTATTTTAGTCAGTAATCCATGATAAAGAAATAAAACCTCTTCCAACATAACAGACAACACAAAATGTATTTGCTAGTATAATATGAACTTTCTCACAGTTGTATGTCATCTGGAATAGAAAGAAAAGATGGTTAAATCACATATATTGTGAACTATTATTATTTTTTTTAAATTGAAGATACCCTCACATACCCTCACATAGGCTGGGGTGCAAATATAACTATGAAAAACACTGAACAATAGAACTGAAATACAGTCGGTATTTTAGTCCAAACTCCACATATTGGAAAACTCACAGGATCAGCAAACTTAGTCAATAACCTGGAGTATTCCAATTACCCAAAACTATCTGCTGAATCCTACCTTAAATCAGGACTGTGCAATGGTATTCCATAAAATGGAGAATAATCCATCAAGTGGTATTCCATTAAGCACAATCAACTTAATCAACCCATAAATATTCACCCTTGAATAGGGCAGAAACTGCTCAGCAGTCAAGATCCTCAAACACATTTAAATCATTAAATCATCAATACAACTTAAATAACAAGCTCATGAAGCAATATGATGAACAGAACCTCCTGAGACTGGTTGAAATGCTTTAACTTGACAAAAAGGAGGAAATTGGTTCAATTACACTGGCTCTATTTAGGGTAGTGTCTGGAAAGGGGCCTATTTAGCTTACATATCTAGGGATGAAAAGGCTAAATGAAAGATACATAAGGACATCAGATGGTGAGATCCAGTCAACACTTGTTAAACTGGGCCAGTGATTATGTCTGGATTAACAAGAACCTGCCCAAATGACCATTCATTTTTCTTATTTTTACCTTGAGAAGAAAACTGCACCACTAACATACAAAAAAGACCTTAATATTTTTGCATGCGAATTGGAAAACTTTGACTTGGTTCTTTTGATCCATGAGTCCATACCATCAAGTGACATAGAAGATATTCCAAGTTTTCTTTTGCTTCAATTCATGCATCTTCAAAATGAGGGACACCAACCAGGACAGTATCCTGTTCAAGTTTATCACAACATTTCTTTACATCCCAATACTGCCAATGTTGGAATATTCAAACCCAATGTCACCTCAACTTGCCCTTTCACCTAAGGCCTCATCCACACCAGAAAGTTTTCACGGACAGACAATGAAAGAATGTTGCAAAATAAATATTTTTTAAATAAAACTTTTTAACAAATCTCCCATAGCATTGAAAATCCTTCAATGGTGAGTGAGGGAGAGTGCAGAGGAAAAGCAACAGGGAAATATTTTCTTTTTTTATCATGTCTTTTACTAGCAAGTCCAGATTAATGGAAGAGAATGGCCCAGGGCAGTGATGTAGGCAGAAAATCAACATGGGGGATTGATGCCAAGTAGACACCCCAACCCTATGCCTAGCTCCACTACCAAGAATTCACCTTTTCAAAGAAATCATGGTCTGGGATCATGGGTCTGTGGACGGACATCAGACTTTTCTCCAAGGGGCATAGTTAAAATTGGAAACCCCAAGGATGACTGAAATATGCCTGTCAGTGTCACTGACTGCAAAGCCCTAGGGGGGGGCTTCTAACCCCCTAAACCCCCCCCCCCCCTTTCCTGCACCACTGGCCCAGGGGATAATAAAACTTGTCCGGATAAGCGAAAAATATGACTAACAATGTCTGGATTAAACTGAGAATTTTATTAGTAATTCCATGGGACTTCTGCCAGGAATATTCCAGATGTTTGTATTACCAGATGATCCGGATTACCAGCGTTTGGATGAACAAAAGTTGACAGTATACTATCTTCCACCTTTTCCTTCATTAAGTTCCTTAACTTTTAAATGGACACTCTCCATCCTAAACATCAGCTTTGACTCAAATATCAAGGTATACAGGCAGGATTGATACACATACTACATCATCTTGATAGATACTGTCATAAGCATCAAGTTACTCGTTATCTACAAGCATCCCTAAATTGGGATGGTCAAAATTTATGCTCTCATTTTGTAGCAAATACTATAAATGATATGAGCATGGTAGCACCCTTTTCCCAAGACTGTATCTTGTACACCTGAATAAAATCTTGAAAATATTCCCATAAGTAGGGTGCTCATAGAGAATTTATTGGGATGGCCTACAATTTAGGTGGTCCAGAATGGTGTATGAAATACTTTCCCACAAGTCGGCTAGATGGATACCCTGACCAGTTCTAATTTTGATAAAAATTGGCAGAGATATCATGGCATAGATTTTCAAAAACTAGTTTTAACTATTTCCTTATATATTTTGCCATTCTCTCAATACATTACTTGACTATTAACTATTACCTGTTTTTTGGTTACAAGCAAAAACCTGGACTGGAACTGCAGAAGCATTTCAGCTTATATATTTCCTCCAGATGAAGATAAAAGCTTCATTCTGGAGTCTTTATATTTGTGAAATTGCTCTCTTTTCAATAGAATAGCAAAAGTGATTTTTAGTGCCTCAGGGAGGCATTAAAAAATTGTAATAAACAAGAGTTTCATGAAACTTTAAAGTTAAAATAAAAATAAAAAATGCAATTAAATACAGTATTAATTAATATAACTGCATTATTCTGTGAAATAATAAATTAAAAAACAGGGGGCCTATCAGGCCTCCAGAGCATGTTCATGTCAAATTTAAACTAAATATCTGAACTTGGGTGTTAATGGGTTACGTACAAGCAGTAAGATCAGTTTTTGACACAAAGTGATTTTTACTGGGTACTTAGCCCCCCCCCCCAAAAAAAAATTATTCAATAAATCCCCATGCCCAAGCTTAAACCTAAACGGAGGTATGTCTACTTCTTACTCTCCTCTGTTATGACAGAGACAAAACTTAAAGACAATCACTGGTTTTTCCACCTCACCAGATAGATGCCATACCTGTATGAGCATTAATGCTAGCAGCAAGATGGAAGTGAATGGAAGACGTGGGAAAATTCTGAATCCCCACACTGTGAAAGTCATGAATGCTGAATGTGGATGGAAGCATAGGAATGGGATAATCCACTTGGGGGACTACAGTTTTGTCTGTATCTCCCCCATCTCGATTCTTTGCTGCTGCTGCCGCTGCAGCTGCCACTCTCCTCCTGAACATGAAGCATGTTCTACAAAACAGCAACAAGTTATCATGAGAGAATTCACTAAATGGAGTCACTATTATTTCAGCAAGATGGACGCACTTCATGTGCTTGAGGCGCTGCATGAATCTATGCTTCTGTCGATGATTGCGTAATTTTGGGTTGTGGCCTGCATAGGGATCTAGCTGCTGTATGTTGACTAGCCCATCATCTGGCAACTGGGTCTCCACCCAGATTCGACAGATGTTGTCCTTGCATGATGTCACCAACACATTTGCCACAGACCCTCTGCAAAGTATCAACACATTCAAAATTAACAATACTGGTAATTACAATATGGTAACAATAATGGTAGATTTAGGTATATGTGAAGGCTCTCACTTGTGCATGTATTTGGAAGTCTTTCGCCAGCTGAGGCTTGTGACAGCTCTTGGATGAGCCAGGTATACAAAACTGTAGTTGATCTGGTTTGTTGTTGAAAGACTCCCTGAATGGCCATCCAAACTCTGGCAGATGATTCCCACTAAAAAGTAAGAATGCAATACTTGCATTTCTCTAGTACATGAACATAATACAAAAACTAATCATAATTTAAAGAAGCTAAAGACAACTAAGCTCACATGAGCATACACACACAACCAATATTAACCCTTATCCGGGCAAGGGGAGTCCATTGGACTCCCCAGGGTATATTTCATTTCATTACTCTCTGCAAATTTTTCAATATATTCTTCAAATTTGATATGGGTTTCATAGACAGTCATCCATAGATTCAGAAACGAACTTTTAAAGTTTGGATTTGCTTTTAAGGAAAAAAATTCTAAAAATGTTTGGCCNTCCATAGCTTCAGAAACGAACTTTTAAAGTTTGGATTTGCTTTTAAGGAAAAAAATTCTAAAAATGTTTGGCCTTGCCCGTTGGTGTCACAAAAATACCTTGCCCGGATAAGGGTTAATAATGGCATCCAACCATCTCAGATTTCATAATAAAAATTCTCAGCAATAGCAGACAATTCTACAACCAGGAGAGGAAAAAAAAAAAAATCGGCCCCATTGGATCTGCAGATAATGAGATATCCCCCAAACTCTGGGATACACGAAAATTTGAAGGACAGCAAAGTTGCATAAATCTTCGGAGCTTGAATAAGGTTTCAGCATCATACTTAAAATTGAAAATTCAATATTTAGGCTACTTGCACCTAACCATATCCCTAAGTGCCAATGGGAAAGGCAACTTTTTCATTATGGTAAGTTCCACTCCTCTTTCAGGCACATTGATCATTTTAAAAAAAGTTATTAATTTTTTATTTTTGTTCTAGGCAAAAAGACAACAAATCACAGTCAACGCTTGATGTAACGAACTCAAAGGGACAGGCTAAAAAAATACCTTATAAAGAAAATTCGTTATGTAGAGGTTTAGTCGTTCGATATAACGTACTCCAAGGGACAAGCTAAAAAATTCGTTAAAAGGAAAATTAATTACATAGAGGTTCGTTATATCGCGCGTCGACTGTATATCGAGAAGGGGAGGGAAAGGAATACTTCCGAACTTTCAGGAAGATTTCAAGTGATGGGGGCATCCCCTGATTAAGGGTTTTGTCCATTTCTCGAAGGAGGGAGCCAGACTAGTTCAGATAACAATTTGGAAAGATTTTCACATTTTTCTCCATCAATGTAGGTAGTAAGCAAATACAGGCACAGGGCAGCCACAACGAGTAACTCCATGCCCCTACATATTCGTATCGAGAAGGGAAAGGGTAACCATAGGTTCAAGTGCTTCTACGTCGATGTGCGGAGCTTGCATAATAAAGTGGATGAGTTGCGAGGGAGAATTCTGGGAATCGGTTACGATGACATCGGGAAAGCTCAGACTCAAGAGAGCTCTGACTTCGTGTATGCACCGAAGGAGTTCGAAATTCGGGGATTCAATACTGCGCAAGGACAGGCTCGAGAAGAAAAATGGGGAGTCTGCATCCGCAATGACTCACCATCATTAGAAGTGAGCTAGAAGTTTGCATTAAGTGCTAGCATATCATTTCAAGTAATTTTGGGGTGGAAATGGGGCGTTTCGCAGAAAATCGATTCATCGACCGATCCGTTTTATAGACAGTTCAACGAATAAACAGATTTTAGCTCATTCATTTCGCAGAAAACCGTTTCCCATACAGAACCTAACACTGGCCGACCTGAAGGTCCTTATTCAGATTCGACAGCTTCGAGATGTGACACTCGATTAAGTGAAACAATGGCTGTTCATGGGGTATAGTGTTTGTGCCACCAGTAATGAAACGAGTGACTTTCACAGTTTACCAGCATCAATTGACGGTTGGAGGCCATGTATTCGATACAAATGAGAGAGAAAATAAAGGAATATTGGCGTAGCATTAATGGGAAGTGCTATGATCAGAGAGCTACTTTTGGGGTAGTGAACATTTATGAAGCGATATCGGCGGAGCGAGAGGAAGGATCTTCCTGAGAAGACACTAGAGACCTCCAAATGCTCCTCGTGAGGATGACGTTGCTCTTCACGTGTTAATGAGTAATATCAGCGAGAAGTCCAACAAGTTTTGCTCTTCTGAGATGTTAGCATGCTTAATTTACTCGTAAATCAGTCGATGTTATGAAGGGGAAGCGATGAGAGAAAGGACGATATAAACGGAAAAGACCCACAAAACTGTGGTCTTCCTGCCGACCGGATCCATATGGATACGGGGAGTGAGGGAATTTAAACCGATAAAACAACATAACACAAGAGTGTTCCTTGTTGTTTTATCGTTTATTTCTGCTGTTGAGAGAAAGAAGCTTCCCCATGCGATGGAGGATGCTCTCTTCGTGCGGCGTTCTTACACTTCGTTTTCGCAACGGATGACGATCTCGTGCTTCATGCTGAACTTCAAGGTAAGCGGGGGGGGCTCGAATCATCGCATGTTATTCCAAATTGACGAGACACATCTATGGGCCAAGGAAGATTCGTACGACTACAAGAACGCAGATTTCAGTCAGAAACGCTTGAAGTCTCGATTGGGAACGTTACTGAGTTTAACGGTAGAAGAGCAGTTGGAGGTATTCAGCAAATTTAAGCAAGGTTTTGTGGAGGGTTCTACCTCCAGGAAGTCAAGGTACGACTTGGTTGATAGATCGGTCTAACTTACAGCCAACATTGTTTGATCAGGTGTAAGAGCCGAAAACGGGATTCGTACAGGAGAACGTGTAATCAAGCGGTGTACGAGGAATATCGGGTCTCTACAAGGTCATCAAGACGGTAACGATATAACAGCGGCAGGAGTCAATTTTCCATAGGGCTCTTAAAGATCGACGCGGTAGAAGTTGTGAATATCAGAGGAGTGGCCGTAGCATTCGATGACTTCGCTTTTGTGTGCACGAGCCAATTCGACAACATATCAGAAATGGAGACGTCCACCGACGCGTTTCTTCAAGTTATCGTCACAGGAGTGGAAGAGATGACAAGTGGGATAGGGAAGCGACAAGCGGTGAAGGCAACCGGTTCGACGGGATTCCAGCGTGTCCTCGAGGGCTCTCGGTCGGGAGGTATCAGCTGGGTAGCAGTACCTTCATGAGTCATTTTCGAGATGAGCACTTTGCGCAGAGAAATGCCTATAGATTGGATATTGGCGGAGGTCATACCTAATATTGGCGGAGGTCATACCTATCTTTCAGAAGGGGACAAAAGCAATCCGAGAATAACAGGCCGGCCTGTGTCATAAGCATTAAGAATAAATTCACGTAAACCATACCAAAGCATCATTTTCTAGAATTTCTCAATGGGAATAAGATCATTCGGGAATATGAGCACTGCTTTTGGAGGAAGCCCTACGTCTCGCCGATCTGCTACAACTTAACGATTGAGCATAGTTGTGATATACACAGGTAATCCCGTCAACATCATATTACTGGACTAACTAGGGCCCCCCATACTGTTCCTAACATGCGAATACGGGGTAAATAGGAGGCACATGGAATACGAAGGAGGGTGATTAACTGAATCACAAGATGACTGCCGGGAAGAGAGTAGCGGTTAATTTTAAAAGGTATTTCATAAGATGTTAGGGCATTTCATGCGTGAATAAAATCTAAATTCAACATCCCAGAATTATCCTAAGGTGTGCAACACACTGTAGTGATCATAAAGTTTCGTTTTCGGCCCTTTCTGCAGATAATTGACGGTTCAGCGTCATCACCTTGCTATTGGGTAGTTTTCCTCCACCGACAAGTGAAAATTCTATTTCGCATTGACACATGTCAACATTCATGGTGAGACACGTGACTGACAACAACGCACGATTCCTATGACGCTCGTTATGGAAAGCATGGTCCTTTACGAATTACCACATCAAGTACACGTTCAAACTCGAGAAGAGTAACGTGACCTGTCAAATGGTGAATTTTGCAACTTAGAGGGAAATTTTTAGTTGAGGAAAACTACCAAAGGTAAGGCAGTCACGTTGAACCAATCAGAACATACGGAAAACCTAAAACTGCAGCTCCAATATACTTGCAAGAGGTTGAGCACCTCCAGAGATTTTTGTAAAGTTGGAGTTTTATTTGTGAATAAAAAATGTAACGGAACACCCTGCATACTGAGCCACGTCTTCAGAAGTTAGTGTCATGAGCGGTGTCGCCAGGACTCCTTCAAACGACTTCCGTTTCTTGTTTACATCAATCATTTAGATCGCGGCCTTGAGCGTAAAAACATCAAACTCATCAAGGCAATGATATGGGTATGCCATCAAGGAAAAGTTGAGAAGGACTTCAGTGAGTGGAAGAAAAAAAAAGGCACATGAAATTCAATAAGAGTAAACGTGAAGAACTTCACATTGATCATAACGATGATTCTCTGAATGCATTTAGCGAGAATAGACTAGGGAATGTAAGGATGGAGAACGGGCAAGTAGCTCCAATTGTTATTTATTTTATTTTATGCTAAACGTCATCTAGATTTTTGGCTTCATTCCGTAGTAGGCAATACGAGCTCGCGGGTCATTCTTTGTTGCATTTGGCGTTGTTAAGCTCTCATTTAGTGCAACCGTAACTCGCGAAAAATGTCCTATAATGGAAAAAATATACAAAATATGCAAATCGGAAAGAGGCCGCCTCGTATAAATCATGTCTTGAAAGCCAAGCAAAAGCTCGTCTCACAAGGCCAAACTCAAAATCCCAACCGGAGGCAGCTCTAGTTCCCAGTTGTACCACAGCTGTAAATTCAGACCCATTCCAGCCAGAAACGGTTGGAAAATTAAGCAATATTCAGGCTGGTTTCTAACTGAACCCCAGTTGGCCTTTTCCGCTGGAAACGGCAAACAAAAATCCATCAGGAACCAACCTGGATTCAACCCTTTCCAACTGCTTCTCAGCTGGAATGGGTCTGGATTTACTGCAGAGAGCTAGCAGAAAATTAGAGCTGGGATTTCTTACTGAGAATTGGAACGAAAGAAGCAGAGCAGAAAACTTAACTGAGTCTTCCTTTTTTCACATGGATATCGATTTATAAATTTGTGCTTAAGAA